ACAACAACCTGCATCTGAACACAGCCAAGACCAAGGAGATGGTAATCGACTTCAGAAGAACAAAGCGATCTGAGCACTCTACCCTCTACATTGATGGGGAGGAGGTAGAAAGGGTAGAAAGCTTTAAGTTCCTTGGAGTCCACATCTCGCCCGACCTTACCTGGTCCACAAACATCTCCCACCAGGTAGGGAAAGCACAACAAAGGCTGTACTTCCTCAGGAAACTACATCAGGCCCAATTACCCCAGAGACTGCTAGTAAACATCTACCGCTCCACCATTGAGAGCCTTTTGACCTACTGCTGCACACTCTGGTTCAACTGCTGCACCGCGGAGGACAAGAGGAAACTGCAGCGGGTGGTGAGGACAGCAGAGCAGGCAACCGGCACTTCACTAACTCCCCTCGGAGACATCTATACTGGCAGACATCAGCAGAAAGTCAGTATCATCATCAAAGACCCCTCGCACCCTGGACACTCACTTTTCTCCCCCTTCCCTCTGGTAAATGCTACAGGTCCATCAGGTTGAAGACAAACAGACTCAACAGACGTTTTTACCTACAGGCTATCAAACATGCCCTACCTCCACCCTGATTGGAGGTAGGGCAACACTCATGGACATTACACCTTATTTATAAACCATATTTGTATTTATACTTCAATGCAACCAACACCCCTATCTCTTTATTATAACCTTATTTAGTATAGTTGCAACAGCACCCCCCCTCCCCCCCACACACACACTCAATGTGCAATATCACTGATCGCACTGCACCTCTCAATGCACCTGCTCCTCAGATGGCATGTATGTGTATTTATATATATGTAAGCGTGTATGTGGAAATATGTGTGTGTTTGTATGTACGCATGCATATATGTATATATACATATATGTATGTATGTGCGTGTATGTTTGTATGGGTGTATCCGCATTTTTGCAGGTGCATGTATAACTTGTACATATCTTTCTTGTGTAAATGTAAATTTGTCTGTTATTGTGTAAATACTTACACTGTTGTGTACTTCACACAAACGGAGAAATGCCAAACTGCCTTTCATTGTTCTTGTAACAGTGACAATAAAAAGCTATTCTATTCTCTTCTAAATGCAGCGCATA